GCTCCAGAGGAGCCGCTCCAGAGGCACTTGGGAGCCCGGAGCAATCCAGCCAGCAACACACAGGCAGGACACAGACGCTGCTTCCTGCCTGGGGGAGGGCTTGTGGCCATCTCCAAGGACAAGGTCCTCAGGGATCCCCACACCTCCAGCCTCTGCCCCTCCACTCTGCTGCAAGCGTTGAGGCTCCAGCAGAACCACCAAAGGCCAAGGGCCTTCTGCTCACTTTTGCTGGCACGCTGCACAGCAGGGCAAGTGTTGCTGAGCACAAGGAGCCCTTTTCCCCTCTTCCCCAAGGCCCTGTGCACACTGGGCACCAAAAAAAAGCTCCTGGGCCTCTGTTTGTGATAACATGTTGGTTGTATTCCCATGCTGGGCTCAAAGGAGGTGCTTGCAGGGAAGAAGCATCTTCCCCACAGGCTCACGTGGCCCCAGGAGATGGAGCTTCCCTCATCAGTTCTCCACAGAGCTGCAGCAGCACAGGCAGACACTGCCCTGCGGAAAAGGCCGGGTCTTCCACGCCCTGCACAGCCAGTCTTGGAGCCGCTGGAATCTGGAGTAGGGAGCTGTCTGTACAGCTCTTAGCACGTAGCAGTGTTGAATTGCCAGGCCTGCCATGGCGAGTCTGATGTCACCTGTCACGCCTCTACGGGCTGGAAGAGGCAGGAATGGAGACTACCAGAACGGGAAGAATGGAGTTCTCCGTACAGCTCTGATGATGTGGAGCGTTTGAAGTGCCAGGTTTGAAACGGCAGGGCTGTCATCAGTCATGCCTTGAAGGGCTGGAAGAGAAAGGAAAGAGAGCCAAGGTGAGGCCAGGGGTGGGGGGACGCGAGGAGCCCCTCCTGGCCGGGCCATCCCAGGCAGCTCTTGCCATGGCCAGGAGGGAGCAGGGCCCAAGGGGATCAGCTGGAAGGTGCCTTCCCTCACCCTGGCAGATGAGCTGCAGCTCTGGCTGCTCCTGCTTCATGGACCTGGCGGCGATCCCTGGGAAGACAGAGGCTGTCAGGGCCCCAGAGGCACAGGTCCCCCCCATGGGGACGCCCCAGGGCTGGGCTGGCCCAGGGCGGCAGCAGGCCCCAGGCCACTCGGGGCTCCACATGCCCTGGGCCGCATCCTGCTGCCGCTGCAGCAGCCGGGGCTGGGGCCGAGCTGCAGCGGGGCGGGGAGGGACCCCGGCCTTGTGGCTCACCCAGGAACTTGATGGCCAGCTTTCGCAGGGGCTCCTCTGGGCTCTCCAGGTATGGCAGGGCCTGGCGCACGTACTGGCCCACTCGGTTCCTGTCCTTTTCCAGCTGCAAAGAGCGCCAGGGCAGGGAGGGAAGGCTCGGCTCAGGCTCTGCCCCTTGGCCGGGCGCTCCCTGCCCCCAGCACGGGGCTCCCCTGCCCGCAGAGCCCTGAGGCCCGGCCAGCAGCCGCTGGGGCCGGGCTTTGGGGGGAGCAGAGGGCTGGGTGCTCCTGGGGAGCCAGGGACTGGGGCTTTGGGGCCGTCCTTACCAGGCACTCGCCAAACCTCCAGGGCTGCTCCATGGTCACCAAGTGCTCAAGATCCCTCCACTTCAGGAACCTGGCTGCACCAAACAGTGCTTCCCGAGAGGCCTGCAGAGCAACAGAGAGTGGGCCATGGCATCGCAGCCCAGGGCACAGGACCCACATCCCTGCACCAAGGCCAGGAGGAGGCTGCAGGCGACCGTGGGCCAGGGCAGGAGGCACAGCAGCCTCCTGCCATGGGGACACCAGAGCCCACGAGTCCTCACCTCTGCCACACGCTGGTTCTCATCGTGCCAGTTGAAGTAGAATGGCACCAGCCTCAGGTAGACGTGTGGCTTTAGGCTCTTGTTCTTCTCTGTTGCTTCCATCACCTCCCGGAAGAGGACCATGGAGAGCTGCTGCAGCTGGCTGTGCTCCTGCTGCAAAGGAAGAGCAAAAGACCTCAGCCCTGGCTTCCCCAGGCCCACCGGGGCACAGGCCTGAAAAGACACTGGGCCCAAAGTTTCCTGGCAGCACTCAGTGCCCACGATGAGGGACACAGAGCCTTACATTGTCAAAGAGTGGTCGCAGCACATCAAGAATCTTCAGGGCAGTAGGGCTGGATATTTGGATGATTTTCAAACGGAGCACATTGATGAATGCAGAGAGGGTCATCTGAACCGTGTCTGTGTCTGCATCCTGCAGTAGCTCCAGGAGGCCTTCATTCAGGCTCCAGATGCTCTTAGCCTGTGTGGAAGACAATGCTGTGGTGCAGCCCCACGCTGCTGCCGCGGGGCCCAGAGGCCAAAGGCGCGTCCCAAAGGAGTCGGGCAGCTGAACGGGGAGGAGGAGAGCTGGGAGCAGCTGGCACAGCTGCCAAAGGCCAGCCAAGGCCAAGCTACTGCCTTGCACAGCCGCACGCTGCCGGCCCGGCTTCAGCCCCTGCCCCCTGCTCACCAGTGCGGGAGCCTTGCTGATCACCACCAGGCCTCGGAGCGCCAGGCGACGCCTCTCGGGGCACTCACTGCGCAGGCGCCTTGAAATAACCTGCAGGACGCTGAGCCCACATTGTCTGGGGTTCAGGCAGTGCAGCACCTGAAAGGCAGGGAGCAGTGACGGGGTGCCCGGCCGGCAGGAGCCCGGACCCGCCCGGGGCTGGGCCCAGGCAGCAGCACAGGGTGCAGGCACCGTCCCAGGCGGCTGCGGCTGTGAGAGGGCAGAGAGGGGGAGGCAGCTGGGCCAGGCAGCGCTCGCCATCAGGCTCACCTCCACCAGGAACGCCAGGGCAGGCAGTTCCCACAGGGGCTCTTCCCTGCTGAGCCGCGGGAGCAGGTTGGCAGCGACGCTGTGGCAGAAGGAGCGGGAGACACGGCACAGCTCCCTGCAAGGGGGAATAAAGGCGCCAGAGACCCTGAGCCAGGTGGGCAAAGCTCCCCTGGGACTGACGCACACAGGCCTGATCTTTGGCCACCAGCCCAGGAGGGGACATGGGCGCTTTGGGAGGTGGCTCCTCCTGTGCAGCCGCCCCTCTCCGCCTTTGCCACTCTGCTCAGCCATCCCTGGCTGCCAAGGCCCTCTGGCCCAGCAGCACGGGCACTGTGTGGGGTGGCCTGTGCACAGGGCAGGAATGCCGGGGGCAGTGGGGAGAAAGGGCTCTCACCTGGCCAGCAGACCCACTGCATAGTGGTGGCTGTCAGCCTTGAGGAGCATGTCCCAGCCACACTTGCGATGGATCACCATCACCACGTCCTCATCCAGCAGCTGGCGCAGCAGGGCTTTCACGGTCTGCACTGCAAACCTGTGTGCAGAGCACAGCCCAGGTCAGGCGCAGAGCCCTGGCCCCAGCCCCGAGGGTGTGGCAGGGAGAGAGGACTGGGATGGAGCACCTGTTGGGGTTGGGGGGAAGGCTGCGCTGCTCCCGGCATCGCCCCCAGAAGGTCTCGACCTCCTCTGACATCTCCTCTGTGCTGATGAAAACTTGGAAGAGCAGAGTCAGAAGGAGGCGGGGCAAATTGGTCTTCACTGCCCCTGGGCACCAGTACAGCTGGAGGATCTCCCAGAGTGCCACAGTTGCCTGCCAAAGACAAAGCACCCAGAGACAGCTCTCAGGGCCCAGATGTCCATGTGGCAGGGCCCCAGCGTGGCAGGGAGAGGCCAGGGGAGACACAGGGGGATCCCCCGGCCTGCTGGCCCTGAACTTGCCCCTAAGCCAGGGTTGCAGCCCAGTGCCTGGGGCAGGGAGAAGCAGTGGTGAGGGAGGATGAAAAGGCATCCCAGAGGAAAGCTGGGGCTGAGCAGAGGCCAGCTCAATAAACTCACAGCCAGGGCAAAGACATCGCTCTCATCCCCATCCGAGGTGCGTGTCCTGTGCGCTGGCCAGAATTCCAGCGCACGGAAGAGGATCTGCAGCACCGGCTCCTTAGTCCCTCTGGAGGAGATGAGCGTCCTCCACATGGTGCGAGCAGCTCTGTGGAGTCAGAACTCTGGCTCAGGGGGGTCTGGGACACAGCGCTGTGGCCTGGGCATCTGCAGGGCCCAGGTGACAGAGCCACGGTGCCTTGTGGGGCAGGGAGGCAGGCTGGCCTCAGGATTGGGGGCTTGACATGCCAAAGCTGGCAAAGAGAGGAGCTGGAATGTCCTGGAAGTCTCCATCTCTCTGGCACACCATTTGGGACAGGCTGTGCAGGGGGATGGGGTCTAAAGGCAGGGGAGCCCTCAAGGCAGGTGGGCCCCATACCTGTCACAGGCTGGGGCAGAGCGCAGCAGGGTCACTGCAACATCCACAGGGTGTGCCTCGGTCAGCAGGACAAGAGTCTTG